GCTCAAACCAGGACCTTCCAGTCAGTAAATTCGCGCTCTAACCACTTGAGCCATCTCGCCCCCAGAGTTGCAAACAGTCGCAATGTCATGCCACCCGAAGGAAGCACGAGGGCTGGGATACTGCCAGGTTGCCCAAACCTAGGCAGGAGAAGTCGACATGTCGGGTTCGAACCATGAACCTTCGGGTCGGTAAATTCGCGCTCTAAGCACTTGAACCATTTCGCCCCCACAGTTGCAATGCAATACTTCTTTATTTTGCCGCTAATATTTTGCGCTTGTGACGAGTTCGACCTCATAGTACTGTTAGCATACGTCACAACTGCATTGAGAAATGTTGCTCTGGACTTCGCTGCTTCAGGGTAACAGGGTCGAGTGGTTTTTACTCTTTGAGTGTCTCTTGAAATCAAAATATCTGATGAATCCTCAGAGGGTTTACAAAGGTGAACCGAGCCGTCAACCTTGAAACCGATCTTTGTCATCCATTTCACTATCTCCATGCCGACTTCGGTCGCCACCACTCCACCTGTAAGAATAGGATGTGGCTGACAAATGAGTGAGCCAAAATGAAGACAAACCAAAAAATAGGATATTGTGGCAAGAAAGCACGTCAGAGTCACTACTCCTAAATTGGTTCATATGGCGAAACAAAACACAGCACAGCGACAGAACTTACCCGACTAGTGGACCCATCATCCACACGTTCGAAAAGATCATCCACCGAATAGAAAATTTGTTCGATTGGATCTAGTAACCGCAGACCTGGCTGAAGCTCCTGTTCCGGCATTGAAGTCTCCACCGTGGTTGCGACCAGAGCGATGTAGAAGTTTTTCGGGCATACATTATGCGTACTGGACACACAACAAACGTAAATATCTAAACAACGAACGATCAGTAATACAGTGCGACCACCTACCGTTTCGCCGACCGACTTCGCTCTGGGGAATGATAATTTGCATTGAAGAGACGTCCTTGTGATTTTGGACTGGATGCGTAAGTATGCAAATAGCCCGGACCACCTGTAAGAGATACCCGGAGTGTGACTGCTAAGAATAGCCCATGGAATATTTATAATTGTGTAAAGAACAGATAGGCAAGACAATACGTATTTTCTCAGCAACGTCTTGTGGTGCCAATACTTTTACAAACGATTAAACGAAATGGTTTCTTTGTCCTAAACTGTACGTCCAAAACTCAGGGCGAACTGAAAGAACGGCATGCAAACGTACAGGCTTCAGACGGTAACAAACGAATCCTGGAGCTAGAGAATAGACATTAAGTTGAACAGAATGGTTCCAGTAAACGCTGTGCAAGCAAAGTACATGGATGCTACCAGGTGATACATAAAGAATCAAAGTAACAGACAACACCGTTCGCTACAAATCGAAAATAATGCCCCTGCAGTGGTCCTCCTGGGCCCACAAGGATTACTGCGTCAACTGCTCAGCGAAAAGCAGTAATGTATAAGGTAGTGTAAACATCCGGAATCTGCGTTGTATGTGGGCTGGGCACAAGTGGAACAAAATGCCAGTCGGCTAAGACCTACACGAGGAAGGGCAAGAAGCGTGGCTGCTAACAATGCTCTGTACAGCAATGTTTGGGAACAACGGTAGGTCTGAACGAACCTCACACTCAGTGGGACTAATAAAACCGGTGTTCCTCCCTCGATATACTGGCACCAGTTCCTAACCCACTAGAGGATAACAGCAATATCGCCGGACAAATGTAAAATAACTTACGGGATACTAGTTACTACGCTCAAAATTGGACCATCTACATCTATGAATCACTTATCATGTGTGAACGAAACGATGACGAGTACAGTTTTTTGCCATCCCAAAGACGTCCAATTCCTAGTAATAACCCAATATGCCTCAGGGCACAAAAGTACGGACTGAAGAGTGATAAAGCGATTCAGCTGGGTTCAAGGTGGGTCGCTCGTCGGAACTAAATTTGGATGCAGACGAGTGTGCAGTTTAAAAATTCAGTGTTATATCAAAGTCCGACCTCATTCACTAGCGCTAGAGTTGTACTGGAAAGGAAATAGAACTAGTGATAGGGAAATTGACAGATTCACGACTGGAAGTTTCACTTAATGTTAACCACCTGGGGAGAAAATAACGCCACGTATTCCTCCAGAAGGATACTGTAAACAAACCCAACAAACTCGAGTAAAGGAGTAGCTATCTTCTCTCGATCCCCATGACTAGTGAAAAGATACGATGACGGAGTATTTCCAGCTTTTTTCCCAGTCACCCATCAAAGCGAAATCGTGTTATCCTTCGGTGAATGGCTGTCGTGCAGCTCGAAGAAGATCTTTAACCACGACAGACGTAATAACGACAGATGAGCCGAGAGCACCCTTGTATGTAAATCCCAGTCACCCATCAAAGCGAAGTCGTGTTATCCTTCGGTGAATGGCTGTCATGCAGCTCGAAGAAGCTCTTCAACCACGACAGACGTAATAACGACAGATGAGCCGAGAGCACCCTTGTAACGCAGTTTACAAAGTGAGGAGGATGATGACTAGGATACCTTCCAGGGACAGCTTTCGGGGTGACGACAGTTGCGTAACCTAGTTCGGCCATGACACCAGAGGAAAGGCGCAACACACTTTACTGAGATAAAGCAAGAAATGAACCGTTACATGATGCATTCAACCAAACTGACCAATTGAAAGGACGATGCCTAGCTCGCTTTGATGGATGGTGCTCAAAAGCGATTCCGGAATCAGCAAGGGCTACCAAACCGTTGGCTGCCAAGGTAGACAGAACAATTTTCCAAAGTTCAGCACTTCACTCACCTGGCCTACTTTCTTTACCCGATCCGGTGCATAGCTAGGGTCACATATGACTGCGTCACATTGAGCAATTTCGCCTTCGGCTTTGACACCGACAACTTTCCCATTCTCGTAAACTATGTTCTCGACTTGCTTGTCCAGCATGTATGTACCTCCGTAAACTGCGCTGAGACGGGCGAACGCTTGAGGTAACTCCCCCAAACCATAGAGAGGGTAAACGTAAGGCGACTTTCCGAATCGTGCAACTGACTGGTCGTACAGTTGCATTCGTTTAATGACCTCTAGGGCTGGTACCTGAGTTTTGTAAGAATCATCGGCGTAGAGGCATAGCGCATGACCGACGAAGTTCTGAAAAAAAGATAAGCGAAGTTTTGGACAACACAATAGATGACGAAGGAAAACCAAACGGATAGCAAGGGATATAGGAAAATTCATGGCTTTCAAACAGACTAAAAAATCTATTTGACCGTTGACGACCGGTGTAGGTTATATATTGGTCTGTCTGATCAATTACATAGTTCCAGTGTACAGGTGAAAAACGATTTACATTTAAGACAAGCCCTGTGGTTGTCTGTACGCCTACTCAAAGTCTACAACACCTCGGTGCAATTCACGAGCGCGTTAGTCTGAATGTTTGTCCATGTGTCATGGGATCAGTTGCGCTTAGATAAGCCTGAGTGTCACAAAGGGTAATCCGTATATTGCTAAAATCAGGTGTACATTCAACACTCGTTATGAAGGCCTGCTTGTACGCTCGCATGTCACCGCAACTCTCGTTACACCATCACTCATCTAGTAGCTACCACAAATGAGCTTATTCCAAACACATCAAACGAATCCTGGTTGCCATGAACGTAGCTGTGCCGTAGCTTTATTGTTGTCCTTTGTGTTCCTCAATCCCATACCTCCCACCAGACTATTGCCGGGGAGGCTCCGGCTACCAGCTGTGACCGGGTGTTGGCAACTATCGGTTACGGTGAAACTACGGATAAAGGAGGTGAAAGACATCCTACTGACTGATTTGAGACTACAACCATGTTAGCTGATCGATCATGATGCTAGAAAAAGAACCGAAAGACTGGCGACAACGCAGACGTCCAGGTGACAAATGACGCGGTAGGACAGGTGCCATTCATCCCGTGGGTAGCTGAAATTCGACACGTTTCTAGCGTTAAACCAGCGCCTTAATTTTCCTCGCTCAGGGGCTTCCAAAAAACGCATCGTCCACAATACTGCTCTTCAATCAGTCATCCAAAAACGACTATCAATCACGTAAACAGTAGCACTGAATGCAGGACATCGTCTTCATTTCGTAGCCGCCCAGTTACTAGTTTTTTAATAAATGGCTTGATTCAACACCAAATTATTGCACCACCACATTGAATGCTTGGTTACATCTTCCCTGCTCTTCCATTCTTCTACGACATAGACTGTAACAGCTGGAACCAACCTACCCTCGGCACATGGCATATAGCTCATAAACTGACCAAACAGAGAAAATCGGTATTCAAGAGGAACGCTCCATTGTAATGTAAGTGTGACTCCACAGCAATGAAACTGGGGACGGTCGCGGTGTCGCTACACTGGAGGTTTCAATTTCACGACCAGTTTCTCATACAAAGTGGATCAGTGGGTCTGATAGACAGTCCCAGATTGGAGTTTGGAATAGACATGGCAACCGCAGTGTGCATAGTTCCTCTGCTGGTCCACCACTAGGACTGACCGCTTTGTTCACATTAAAACATATTCAGCTGCAGTTTCTGCACGTCGGTTCTAACCACCCCGAACTCAGTTTCCAAACCTCGAAATTCGGTCAACTTAGTTGCCTTTAATGTTCGTACAGAAAAAAAGCAGGACAACAAACAGCTCTTGCTAGTACATTAGATTCCCTCTGCATTCATGTATGCTGTCTGTCAGAAACGAGAAGCCAGAACGTAAGTACTGTAACTGAACTGATTGGCCCATCACTCTCGTTTCTGGCTTCGCACCTCTGGTGAAGTGGAGACCGCTGCAGGCGGATATGACGGGGTTGAACTACCGATCAGGGACGTCCGTGCTTGACTGGATGGCTGATGATGGTCACTTCTGATGTGGTTCGTTTAGTACCATCCGTGAAGAAATCTTGAGAATTATCGCTCCCTGTTGATTGTATCGGCTTGCGCTCCTACCAACTGCAGTCTGAATCCACTGAGTACAGTTTTTATGGCAACCTATGTGCCCTTTTATATAAAACTAAAAACGCAGACATCACTGTAGTCGCTGGTGACGTGAACGCTCACTACGCAGGCTTGCCGCTTGAGTTGTCGTCTTGGGTTGCACTGAGAACATGGAAAACCAAAAGCACCAACTGATGTGCGTTGATCACGGGTTGCTCCTTTGTTGCTAACGGAACAATGGGAATGGTCTGACTGCGTGATGATCACCAACGAACAAGTTACGAACCCAAGTAGACCACAGTGTCGACTTCCAGTGGCGAGGGTGCATCACTGCCTACAGTGCCTGAGTAGGCTCCGGTCACGCAGTTAACCGTCTCTGCCTTCCACTGCATTTTCCAGGTTTGTGCAGAATGCACATCTTGCTTGGCCACTGGGAAGCTCATGGACTAAGAAATCAAACAAATTTATCAAAACTGCCTTCTCCAACGCCTGCCCGCTGGACCGTTAGCAGACGTGAACGAAGAGAGAAACATCATCATCATCATCATCGACAGCAACAGACGTGAACGAAGAGAGAAATATCCTAAGCTGTGCTCGAATTCAGAATTTCAATCTGCGAAACAACCCAGCTAAACTCATCTAAGCACTGGACTTCCGATAGAACCATAGCTTTGCAAGAGGCCCGGCAACAGATTTCTCCAGATCGCAACAGTTCAGCTAGACAGACGTAAAACCGAGTGGCCGCGTACATCGAGAACACCCTCGGATCCGAAAGTCCGAAGGGGGTAAAATACTGGAAATGTCCGCAGATTTCTCCAACTTATTCGTTCAAGGGTCAAAATGGCATTCTGATATTCTGCACAGAAGAATTGGACCACTGGACCACCTGCTGAAACAAATCAAGGCCCCTGAGTTTAAACCGAAAGGTGGACAGTGAATATGCAGCCTCAGAAGTGTCCGGGTGTATATCTCTACTGAGGCGTCACCGTACACATGGTCCGAACGAGCTTCCACCTAATCCGTTAAAAGATGACAGATTCCCGCAGCCAGTGCTTGTTTAGCTGGGAGAAAGAGACCGTCCATGACAAATGATGCGAGTTAACAATAATGCTAATTTTCAGAAACGGTGCTTACAGTGGACATAGTAACCACAGGAGCGCCATCCTGCTTCCAGTTTGGAATCACTGGTTCTTTGTTATCCATGGTGGCATGCGAAACACTGATCCGTGGATGTCAAGCGGGACTCCGACAGGTAGAGGTTGCGTCGATCACATCTTCACACTGTCAGTTGTTAGAGCAATGCCGCATGTGCAGACGACCCACAATCTTGGTGTTACTTGAATTCAAGGGTGCGTTCAAATCTGTTGGTCGTTCAGTGCTGTTAACTAAACGTACCCAACAGGGGATGCCGCCTGAGGTTCGTGAACATAATCCAGTCCCCACATCCACATCACCCGGGGTGTTTGAGTGTAAAATAAAGCACGAGGCCTGGGATACTGCCAGGTCGCCCGAGCCTAGGCAGGGGAAGTCAAGAGACAGAGGTCGGGTTCGAACCACGGACCTTCCGGTCAGTAAATTCGCGCTCTAACCACTTGAGCCATCTATTCATTGATGAAATAACCAAATGACCACCGGATAGTCTTCAAAACCCAGGCGGTCTAAACGTTACTGTTGAGAACCCTGTCGATCTGGAAAACGCCGATGACATCGTCCTCTCGTTTGAAGACGGAGGTCAAGCACAAACACAACAAAACCAACCTCCATCGTACCATCTTTCGGCATGCGCCCTACAAATCATACGCACAACACACACAACACGCCTTATAACGTCGATTGTTACTAAAAGACACTGTCCACAATCCTGAAAGATTCTGATGGCTCCACTTGCGCAACACCACAACCCACTAGATCGTTTGTAAACCTTAAAATTACTCGAAGCACGTATTCCTCCTGGTCGAGAGCACGACTCTGTCAGGCATCAAGTGAGAAGGAGCACCCGAGCGGATCGAGCCTGATGGATACAGAGAACTGAAGAGATGGATGAGGTGAGATAGTCTTCGAAAGAAGGTAAACTATTCCAGCTGATATGCGTAACAAACCCAGGAGTCCCTAGTGAGCGAAATAACCAGTGATAGAAAGGATTCACCAATCTCTAGAGAAGAATGCTTCAATCGGTGAGTTAAACATCTTCAACAACAGTTCAACTGGCCATCTGCAGCTGTTTAACAGGATTCCAGACTCGCAAAGCAGACATAAGGAGTTGTTATCACCATCGTCTTTAGCTGTAAAAGCCGCAATTTTGTTGTACAGTGGTTATAGCTGCCAGTTTCATTCGCCAATTTGAGAAGCTGAGGGTAGATAGCTAAGCACTGAAAACTGAGCTGAATCGAGCTAAAAAACGAACGATGCAGAGATAACTATTTAGTGGAATCTAATCTAGCAAAGTACGCTCAGCTCCGGGGCTAAGCAGAACTCCCACGCGATATATTCCATGAGTAATCGATTATAGATCACTGGATGCATACAGAGTGAATCGTGAGAGGTGAGTTCTTCCTTAGTATTTTAAGTTATCTGACCTGGGTCTTGCATGCCGCTTCAGATATATAACATACATCAATTTTAAGGGAACACAAGGTCTGGGCGAGCACCGCCTGTCTGCCAATTTGACATACACTACGGACTTTGGAAGATCCAATGAAGAAAAAATCCCGTAAACTTAGCAGCAATGGATCGTGTTAGACACATTGGTTAGATAACTGGAAAAATGATCAAGCAACGTTTGCTCGTGTGGTGGGCAATGGCTGGAGAGGGAGATCGGTGGACAGAGAAAGGTGCGGGTAAATGGTACATCCCGGTTGCTATGATCATCCGGAGACCAGTTATCATGCCACCCAAAGGGAGCACGAAAGCTGAGATGCTGCCAGGTTGCCCAAATCTAGGTGGGAGCAGTCGAGATGCAGATGTTGCGTCCGAACTCTGAAAAATAAAAATAAGTCGTTCAGCCTTGACGCCCTTCTGGTGCCTAGCTGCCATGCTACCCGAAGGAAGCACGAGGGCTGGGATATTGCCAGGTTGCCCAAGCCTGGACAGGGAAGTCGAACCCTGGACTTGGTGGCCAGTGGTTTTGCGCCTTAACCTGTTACCTAAACCTCGGCCGCCCAGGCCGAGCAAGAGGGTACAGCTGAGCCACTAAATCAAAAGTTTAAAACCACAAGGTAGCGGGTAGTAGAGTTTCTTCTGGGATCCGATGACTCAGTGGTCTGACCAGCTCGGTTGCAAGGGGCTGGCCGAACCCGAGGGCACAGAGAGCAAGACATCACTGTCTGACTCCTAATGCGACTGCGCACAGCGTGTCTCTTTTGAATAGCACTAGACTGTTTGGTTTCAGAAGTAGTTCCACGGTACTGAATAATGGACCGAGTGCCACTGTCAATCGTGTGGCGATTGGAGCGGACCTTTTCTAGCCTGTCGGAAGGACAGTATCACTGCTTTCATGAATATAGACATGCTGGTCGCCTGGGAGAAACAACTTACTGCCTCCACATTCCCATCGTAGATTTTACCCATAAACCGCCTTGTAATACGATTGCTCGTAGTACAGGGTGTCGCTACTATTGGTCTGGCTGCTCGGTTTTGGCCTCCTTGGCATAGCTACACCCTAGCGACGTTCCAGCCAGTGACCGGCGGGGTCACTGCAACACTCAAACTCCACCACCACGCAAAGTTAGTAGCTTTAGGTCGGCATATGCTTCGCGCAAAATCATATTTCCTCTGAGAATCTAAGAAGTGACAGTGGAATTCGTGGAACGCTGTGCGCATTTCCGAAGTTGCATTAATTCTGACAGTGTGACAGGCGAGGCTGACGCAGAAATCTCAAAATCCGAAGAAATAGATATCATGACATCAGTGTTCAACACTGATGCTTCACTGCAGTACACTCAAAAGCCTCAATTGTGTTCCTTAATTTCCCTAATTGTTCCTTAATTTGCGCCACTTGTGGCATCAAAGAAGCAACGCTGGATCTCAATGGACATGAATGTCAGACTACAGTGGGGACTGTATTGTTGTACAACCGCGAGACTTGCCCAATCCGAGTGCAGGATATGGGACATCTTCACGTCATTGACCACTGAAGTTTCAGAAGTTTACCTGGAACTGGCCGAGACCAGCGAATTCAGTGAGGTGATCAGCAAACGAGTCTTCGATACTTTAGTCAACAAGTGCACCCAGCACTGCAAGCCAACACAACTCAGCTATGTGCTACGCAAGCCGGGAAGGGTGGTCTTTGACATAGAAAAGGGGAATGAGGGATATTACGGAGCGTTTGGGCGCCGTTGGCACTGCTCGTATTTCAGAAAGGAGTCGACGTGAGCCTCCCTGTGCTTGGCTGATTGCGATAGGTCACCACTGGGTCCCCTCCCTGCCTCACTATTTCCTCTGCTGTACGGCAATGAAGCATCAGTGTCAACATTAACATCCTTGCTTCCGATGATGTGAAAAGGTGGAAGGAACATTGGCACTGTTCGTATTTCAGAAAGGGGTCGACGTGAGCCTCCCTGTGCTTGGCTGCTTGCGATAAGTCACCACTGGGTCCCCTCCCTCCCTCACTATTTCCTCTGCTGTACGGCAATGAAGCATCAGTGTCAACATTAACATCCTTGCTTCCGATGATGTGAAAAGGTGGAACAGCTCCAAAACCAGGGTTACAGGGCATGAAGTCCCATTTGTTTTCGACACACTGGTTAAGGAAAACAGCCATTCGAGGATATACAACGACCCGAATGAATGGAATCATCAGCGACTTAGTGCCGCAGATGCTACGATGAATTCTCGTGTCGTACCCATCCCATCACTCTGTGATTCGAAGAGGCGTTCCAAAACGTAACTTTAGGGCCAATTGAGATATTTTGTACCCTAAGAAGGCTTGATACGTAAATATTCCAGACCATTGGGGTTTTATCCAAAAAAGTTTAACATCAGGCTAAATAGAGATCGCAACAAATTTCATTGAACATTTGGTTGGAAACTTGAACGGGAAAGGTAAAAATGAACAATCTCGTAACATTCAAAGATGTTACTTAATTATTGGGGGGCGTTTGTTGAGTTATAACCGAAGACAGGTGAGCCAATCGGTAGGCATACAAAGCCATCAACCATAGGTTTTACCCTCACTATGATATCAAGTACGCCAATCAAAAATGGTCCGAAAGCCATGTAGCTAATGCTTCCGACCGTTGTTCTTCCATACAGCAGCAACACTCGGACAAATTAAGTTGATTGACATTAGGTTGAAGACAATGAGTGCAGGTAGTTATTGTCATATTCTCATGCTTGGATGGATTGTGTTGTTCAGATGTAGCACCCTTTCGGTGCCTAACTGCCATGCCACCAGAAGGAGGCACGAGGGCTGGAATACTGCCAGGTTGCCCAAACCTAGACAGGGGAAATCTAGAGGCAGAGGTCGGGTTAGAACAACGGACCTTCCGGTCAGTAATTTCGCGCTCTAACCACTTGGACCACTTGGAATGTAAGACTGAGGTTGAAACTGCCACGTACATTGTCTGTAGCCGTTTCCAGCTACAGACAAACTAATTAGATGCGCTCGGTGGTTGGACCAGTCGTGCAGAAACAGAGACATACAACAACATAGTCGGAAATAAAAGTCAACTCATTAACTGTGATAGTAGTGCGATAGCTCAGGCGCAGACCTACTCGGACATCCGGCTACACATGACAAAGGATTCTGAAATCGACGCCCACCGGGAAAATGTCACCCTAAACCCGAGTTGCTTTTATTTTACCTGACAAATGCTGTTTGCCAAAAAGTTATCCACACACCCACATGTACCCATCCATATAATATGATTTGCTCCATCTGATGGCCTCACATGGCAGAAGAGAGGACTCACGGTAACAGACCTTCCATTAATAATGGTGACGTGTAAAACGAAACTACCCATAAAATAACACAAACACCACGATGGGTTGGGATGCATGCAAAGTCCGTTTTTTGAACACTCAGAGGTCGTATGAGTTAAAAGAGGTAGAGTGGCGGAGTTCTAAAGGCGAAAAAACATGTGGAAGACAAGCTTTAAAACGTATGGCGGCAACTTCATACAGGTGATCGGATAAGCAAACACTCCTGCAAATGAAAGGTGTCAGTAGTGGAACGGAGGTAAGCTTCGGTGAACATATTCCGCCAGTGCCAGTAAAATTAAGCAAGAAATATCAGATTCCGAGGGTGGTGTTTGCGGGTCACCAGTCAACGGAATATCACTTAATGGAATCGAGGGAGATTCATCCCCAACTTGATAGCAATACTCTATGGTAGGCCGAATTCCATGTTTATGTTTATATTCCTCAACTATAAGTTCGCACCAATCATACTTCACGCACTTCCCCTAGCACTCAAAACACGCTACGGTCCCAACTCTAACCGCAGCTTACCGTGTGGTTACACTGGGTCACAAGCAGTGTCATGTGTTCAGGGGGTCTCGCGGACCACTGCAACCACTGTCGCAGCGTCAGGTACTGAAAGGACTACCACGAAGCATTCCCACATATTTACATAAAATGTGTATACGAAAGTAGGCAAAATCTTCATGCGGAGGAACAACAGGAAAATAAGGACCAATAATTCGGCAGCCGTTCCAATGAACACCAATGCAAAACTGACCTGGGTGCTGTCACCCACACCAAACTTCGTGAAAGTATGCTGTATATTGTCTCGGTGGATGTTTAAGGAACCGGAATACACACTGTTGTAAGAAGACGGATCAGACTCGTTAACGTTCACAACCCATTTGAGCATACTCGCGAGCCTTCGTTTTTCGAAGAAACTGAGCAAACCTGAGGGAGGATGGTGTAGGCTAAAAATGACTTACTGGTTGAGATAGCCTCCGTCTCATTGCTTGGGACTTTGTGGATCTTTCCTTTGTGAAACACATAGCTACCATCGATGCTCTTGAATTCCAAGTAGCGCGTGACCCCAGTGTGTACGAGCAATGCAACCAATTTACCTGCAAACGACCTCAAAAATTTTAAGCAGCAATACCATTGGCCATAAGAAACTTGGGGATCAGATCCACGTTCCAGTCCCTTCCCCGACCATATTTTTCAATATCTTTCGCCTTTAGTTTAAACTTGTCGAATAATTCCGACAGGGGAGACAGCGATGTACTGGCACCACCATAGTACTTGTTTCTATCCATATGTAGAACCTTTCTTCCCTCTACTGACATAAGCCCGCTTAGAATACATTCCTGAAAATAGTGTCAGTTCGATAAGCCATCAGAAACCCACCTTCAGACCAGTCCCAAGGACAACCACGTCGTATTTCTCATCCATTGTTAAATTTCAAACTGCCACCTTATTTAGTCCAGCAGTCAGTCGGTCAACGCCTGAGGCCGAATCAGCAAGTAACTCACGGATTCATGAGCTTTCTCCCAAGTTTCCCGGATAGAGTCTGTTCTTGTCGTTCAGCGGCTTCCGTTCACCTGAAGGGCATTAGCGGAAAAGGTGTGCCATTGCTAGGGGCAGTTAGCTCGCAAACCTGAGGACCCACCTAAAGAGCGTCTGAAAGTGCATTGTGAACAACCATCAGAGGAAGGCTATTCTACACACCAACTATCCTAACTGAGAAAAACTGCGGCCTAATAAAAATGTGGCACCTGAGCTTGGAAGTCTACTTACCATGTCCCCACTGTGTTCGTTGGATTCACGGATTCATGGATTCACGGATTGATATACAGGATCGAGGCTTTTGCCCAAGTTTCCCGGGTCGGTTTTGTTCTTGTCGTCCAGCGGCTGTCGTTCACCTGGAAGGCACAAGTGAAAAAAGGTGTAGCACTGCTCTTTATGTTCTCAGCGCGGGGCAGTATGCTTGCCAACGCGAGGATTCGCATAAATAAATGTCTAATGGTGCTTTAAGCTGGGTTCTTGAAGGAGCGTAGACAACCGTTTCTTCAACGCAACTACTAACGATGAATAATCTGTGGTCTAAACCTTGTTCAAAAAAGGCATAAGTAAGCACTATGGCCCCTCGGAGGCGACGATTCTTCAGGGTAAAGAGGTCAAGTAACGCGGGACGCGTTTCATAAACCACGGGTTTAAGCCGGGCAACAATATTCTAAGCAGCCCTCTGGACACGCTCAAGGGCCACGCCTTTCTTGCATCCCGAGTAACGTACTCAAGAAAAAAGAAGGAACTCTGTGCGTGCGAACAATACGGGAGAAGATGGGCCGAATTGTCTGTAAAACAACTAATGAATTTTGAGCCGACTTTTCATGGTGAAGTGAGAGGGACATGTTTGAAGATAGTCAGATAGCCGAGTCTTTTTGGAATCTATCTTTGCACCGTCTTCTTGTTTATTCTCACGATGCACGGTAAGGGGCTTTGCTGAGTCCTCTCCGAATTACATGTTGATGCAGTTCATCATTGAGAAGGTACCAGTCCAGTGGCGACTGCTTTGTGGCATCAATACCCAGTTGGTGGGCGCTAGCGTTAGAACTCCAAGATTTCAAGTCATTCACAAGAAGTAAACATGGTCCTGAGAGAACATCTGGAAGGTATTTGACGTTTCATTCAAGACACTTAGATGAACCCCACCTGGCTTCAGCATGCTGAAGTTGTTTGCCTTTTGCAAAACTTGACGAACGTCGGTCTCCGTGAGGACCAGGTTGAGTAGAGGATGGTACTTGCAATGCATTCCCAAGATCGCATGTAATGGGGTCGCTGGGGCGGAATACAAGCGTCCTTTCAAGCTTCATATTTCATTATTTGATCAATCGTGAGTTATCTTACTTGTTCTCGCCAATGAGAAATAGAGGGGCTAGTTTATTCCGTGGTGTCTTATATACTTGAATGGTGCTTTTTACTTCTTAGACCGAGGCTTATTACTTTGAACTGTTTGTCGGATTTCTGACTTACACTAGCCGCCTATCCTACGGAATGCCAGGTTGTCTCCTGAGTCTCCCGTAATTATCTTCTTGAGGAATGGTGGGCCACAATTTTCAGAAAACGTTAAGTTCTTTTGTGTAGCCTTGAGCTCGTTCGATTTTACGGCTTTCACTTTGGGACGAACACCCCATTAGTTTCACGAATTTTCTGGACAGTGGTCCTGAACGTCTCCTTCATTGAAGCTGGTCCAAGTTTGAGGCAGCCAAGGAAGTTATGCATTCTCGAATATCTGCGCCGCGAAGGTTCTAAATCCACGTTTGAGTTTCCGGGTTCCTGGTCCGGTAGCAGGTGAAGTCAACACTTGGTACACAGTAGTCACCATAGGAGAATTAATTATCACTTGATCAACGTCGCCTCTTCTGTTGATGATAATCAAACTCAGCGAGGATACTGGTCGACTTACGCAGTATTTGGTGGGTGTGATGGCACGTCAAGTGCAGGAGCTCCAGTGGGCAATTTTATTCATCGTTGATGCGATGTCTCCACTACATATAACATGCTGAAACTATGGCGTACAAGTGCTAACTTTACTAAACATCGGAGGATGCGTACATTGGTAGCTGGAGGGGAAGTGCTAACTTTACTAAACACCGGAGGATGCGTACATTGGTAGCTGGAGGGGAGCTATCCAGAAGTTTGCATGAAGGACGGGTCGTCGTCCAGGCTTGGTTCCATGTATCCGTGGCTGAATTGTCGGCCTTTTTTCCTGACGGGGCCACTCCACCTACTAATTCATCTACTTTTTGCTTCGTCGGAGCGTAGTTTATATCGGCTCTTTGTCTCTGGGGGAGCACCTTTACTCAATCCGGTCGCGGTTTGTAGCTCGCGAAATGCCGTTTAAATCGCTTGCATTCACCTTTGTTCAAAGATTTGCGATCACCATGTTTAGTTCGTCGGGTGCAATTTTGGTCACTGGTTTGCTGTGTCAATGTATGTTGGATGGAACCACCAGCCAGCAGTCCTTTTTGTTGACCCTCCCAAAAGACCTGTTTTCGTGGGAGACTGCACCCTGATTTCAGCAAACGGGACATAGGCTGGAAGAGTTCATTTTACCATGGTCGATTTTGTTTTACGTACTTGCAGACTTCCAGCTCGTCCTCAATCATGGTGGCCAACACGATGTTAGCGAAGGCATGAAGCACGGCCTTGTCAGACTTGTATCGCTGTCACCAAGGGCCGAGAGTGACAACTCCATCCCATATTACATCGATTGTTCTAGACGGAGTGTAGCTGGCGGCTGGAACGAACTAATGTAACTATTTTAGTGATGCTGGCTTATGATATTAAATTACAGAGACTGTCTTCGACTAATTTGCCAAACAGTGATTTTGTGCTTCTACGTAGATCCCTAAATTTGGGGTGAGCGTTTTTGGCTGATCCGTCGGCAGACTTCGCCACGCGTCTTACGGCTTGTCTAATCCAGCTTAGGCTCCGCGGTTTGGGTAGAGATTTCACCTCTGCACTTTCATCATCTGCCCAGGAAATATGGGATGCCGATTTCGCCGACATCGGATGCCCTGTTGACGCGGGATTTGCTTGATTCCGGACATCACCTTCATTGAGTCAGTATGTCCAACGCGGTTGGGAAGAAGCTGGAATCTTGAGGTGCTGTCGGTGAAACCAGAGTGCTTTAAAGAAGACAAGACCACAGTTGCAGCCCATTTGGCCAAATATATGGGATCGGTTGATTTCTCATCGAGTTTTGACTTGTTTAGTGCTGCTTCTCCACATATTACCCGGTTTTTGCATCTGTCGAGGGGGATTCTCGAATGTAATTTTGCTCCTCCGGAAGACCTCAAACATTGACAAACCACCTCATGGTTCTCATTGCGGCAGATGGGAAAGAAATGTGAATAATTTCTGATTACTGCGAAGTGATTTGTTTTCCTTTTGATCTAGAGCATCACCGTGAAGGGATGTTGTCTTTTTTGTTGGCGTGGTCACTTCAGAAGCGACGCCCAGATGACAATCTCTGACTCCCGCATGCGCTCGTCTATCGTCAGCTGTATGAAAGTCTTGAATTCGGTTTTGGATTGGCTGATTATCTCCTTGGCAATAGACGACCACGAACAGAAAGCGTTCGGCACCCCTTCAGAGAAGGAAGGCTGTCACCGACTATAATCTAGGCTGCTGTTCAAAGGCCATTATAAGTTTCAGCTTGTCCTCAGGTGTCTGAATCGAGAAGGAGCATTTGCACATACTTTTCCGACTTGAAAGCCGGGACGTAATTATGCTGAGAATGGGTGTCTTGTTTATAATTTATAGCCACCATAAAGTAGAGGCAACTGGCACAGACAGAGAAACCAAGGGACTTGGATTGTCAGTTCAAAAGACAAACATGGCGTGGCACTCCATGTGATTTTCAAACGAATGAGGAATCAGCAAAGTATCTCACCGGCACTTTTGGATGTATACATACTGTTTCTAGGACCGCGGACTGCCGTGTAGGATGTTAGTCAGTCGCCTGGCTAAATCGACGATAGCGCGGACATGTGTTGCGTGCCGTATGAACCCATTACTGAACTTGGTCACGCGGCAGATCGAGAAAATGCTGAAGAGCTTTACTGTGCTTGGTGATCAATCCGGAAATCTGGCAATGGAAGTCTTGCTAGGCTTCATCAGAGCCACGGTTTTAGTGGAAGCCGGCCAGGGACACCAGCCTGGAGGCTTGCATCCGGGATGTAGTTGGGGCTGGCAGTATGGGAGCAAGAGAAGAGTTCGATGTTAGGGTAGATAGATTTGGGATGATGAGGTGGGCTTGCTATATTCCTGTATTTGAAGTTGGTGCATGCATGGGACATCAAAGGGTTGTTTTAAGGATTCATCGCATGGGTGTCCGGTGAGCGGGAGCTTCGATGACAATAAATGTACCACAAAAGTTGGCAGTGATAGTATTATTTAAGCCAGACGTCAATTTTAAGTTGAATAGATGCGGTCTTGCATAACGATTTTATGAATTCTTGACGTCCGTGGATATCCGGAGAATTGCAAAGCGCACATGGAAAATGAGCACCACGTGAGGGGATCCGAAGGCTCACGCACTTCAGTCGGTGAAGTTTCACTTTTGTTCTGAGAATGAGTTATCAATGCGGCTGACAAAAAGTTAAACACTAAATCCGTCCGCTTTACGCAAGTCTGGTTATTATTTCGAGGTAGACGGAATCTAGAAATGATTAAGTAGGAAACATTCCAGCTCAGTCTAAATAGTCGCCTTCAGATAAAGCTAACTGAATCATATGGATGACGCAGCAGTGCGATAAGAAAAGCTGAGTTGCGCTGGAATGAGATAGTTTATGCAGGCAGTTTCTGTTACCCATAGCCCGATTTGCTTGCATCAAGCGCTTTCAAGGCGGGCTGCATTTTACGCAAGGTTTTATTTGACCAACTAT